ACAAGTTTTACAAATGAAAATTAACTGTGAATATTTTGTCATGAAATGCAAAACATACACATTATTATATATGTTATGAAGTTCCGAAGGACTTACCCATTGTTTCTTCTTCAATCTTGAATCATGATGATATTGCAGATATGATCACCCTATATACAATAATATTTTGTTCAGGCTGTACGCGAGTTTGAACTGCGTCACTTCAGAGTTTAGGCTATGTCACACTCTGACGCGCGTGTGCCCTCTCTCGAAACAGTCCTCCACACAGAGCGCAACGTTACACTATTTACAGTAGTAGGCCGTGGTTCTGCGCTTCTTACTCTGAGAATACGACAACGTCTTTGTTTTCCTTTGGCTGGCCAGTGTTGTGAATGTTTCACCTCCAGTCGACTCAGTTGGGCCCCAGATGAACTTGGCCTCCCCCTAGAAACGCCACTGACTGTGATATTCGCCTCATGCGACTGAAGAATCAAATCCTGCACCAATATTTCGCGGAACTTTTTGTGTGTCATCTGTTGATTCCCCTTGGAGGACCAGTGAAGTCTATTACCTTTGGCGAATCCCCGTGTCTTCTTTCATGAAACATAACATTTTCTTGACCTTGGGCTGCTGCTGATGATGATGATGGTGATGATGATGATGATGATGATGATGAGGAGGAGGAGGAGGAGGAGGAGGACGAGGACGAGGACAGCGTATCTGCTCGAGGTTCAAAGAACTGATTGATACCGTCTAGCTCTTCATCAGATTCCTCTTCCATCAACATTTCCTCCAGCTCTTCTGCATCGAGAATTTTGGAATATCGGGCACTTTTTTGAGGTTCCATCTTGGGGGAGGGGGGTTTCCAGCAAAATCGAATAAATTATGATGATTCACAGAGACTCACAAAATAGTGATGCAAAGTAACTGTAATAGTATGGTACAATAGGCCAGAAGTGGCAGCAGTACAAGAGACTTAGTCCCACCACACTAGCAATAAAAATAATAATTGTAATAGTAGTCGAAAAGGTGCCATTCCGACACTGATACGGAAAGTCACAGTGACGAAGATGCCTTCTACTCACAAACAGATACTGGCTCAGTGAGTTTATACCTCTTCCGAGACACAAAATAATATAAACAGAAATATATGAGAGTGACACTAACTTTTTAAGTGAAAAAGAAATATAACACAATCCGACACTGACTTCCTAACTGATAATTCGCCACTGATAACCAGTCCTTGAATGCGTCACACTTCCTTGAAAGCTCTGGAAGCACTGATCTGTAAGCACCGACGAATATTTCCTCTTCAGTTCGCAGAACAAAGCTGGGCTACATTTGGCTCACCAGGTCATAAACAGTCATATATAAACATAAATAGTTTCGAAATCAGGACCGAGATAAACGATTTGTTTGTTCAGAGCTAAGGAATGAACCACTGACATGACTTCACGTGAGTTTCTTTTGGTTTCAAACCCAAGGTCAAACTGTCAGCACTCCTAAAGAGTGCACGTGTCCTGCGACACATATACGTGTCATTCGGCCAACTCTGGTCCCTGCTTGCGACATGTATACGATTTATTCGGCCGTTAAAGGTTAATGTACCCCCAAAGGAAGAAGTCACAAGGCGTTAGATCAGGTGATCTGGGGGGCCAAATGAACAGAGCTACGTCATCCTCACCAACACGCCCAATCCAGCGATGCCGAAGTTCATTGTTTAGATAGCGATGAACATTACAGAGTCCACCGCAAAATGCTTCGTTTACATGGCGGTTCTTTTCCGTACTCTTTTGAATGCGCGTCGCACTGCTATAACAGATGAACATCTCGCATATTCCAACAAACAAAAACTCTTTTTCTTGCTTTGTCACTATTTTGTAAAGGCACTGAACTCATGCTGCCAACTGGTCCACACAATACAAACTTGGTGAGTTTACGGTTCTTTTTATGTATCAGTCATATTTGTACGTGTAATACTTTGGAAAATGTAGCGTTTTAAAAACGAATCATTTATAGTAGCCCTGTATCATGAAAGATTCATGTTGCTTTGGTGAATGATTTGCCTCATAATTTGTTTTCTTA